CTGGAAACATCCATAAGGGCCAGATTACAAGGGTCCGGATACACGTCCAAGTGGGTGAGTTCTACAAAAATAAAGACAGAACCAAATGAATGTGTAAATGTTACTTGTTGCCAAGATCTGCCAAGTTCAAACACTGAATTCAAACATTTCCTGTGTGCTTTGTGTTACCGGTTTGCCAAAAGGTTGCCCCATTCAAGTTCATCAAAATGTTATCACCGACATTATGACATATATGTAAAGCTGAACTCTGGGATAAGAAAGTAAAGTCTAAATACAAGGGGCATGTGTATTCTTGATTCACTTTGTGTATTTCTTTCAGATCTGTGCAGTAATCGGCTAAGACTTTTCTTTTGTGCAGGAGCTTCTTGTAATAAAGGCTGGTCAGCAGTGATCTTTTAACTTGTGCAGGGTGACTGGTCGTCTTCTTCTTCTGGTATCTACCCCCTCCTGTACTTTTCTGCAGGCAGTATGAAGTGAGTGGAGCCTCCTGGGTCCCTCCCACAGCTCTGATCTCTGTACAGATTATATGCAGCACAGTGATAATGTCCCTGCTACTTTTACATGGTGATAACTGGGTTTGGAAATGCATGTGGTGCACATAAACCAGGGCTCAAAATTTCCACTCACCCCCTCGCAATTGGCGAGTGAAAATTGCGTGAGGTCGAGTGGAAATTCATCTGGGGAGGGGGAGCCGCCGGCAGGACCAGCGGGGGTGAACTACCGCCGATTCTGGTACGGCGATCGCACGCTTCAGTTGTCTTCTGTGGCCGGAGTGAAGGGAAGGACAGCTGCACTGATTTTTCTACTCCGCTGCAGCTACAGAGCGGCAGAGGGAGGAGAAGAATCAGTTCGTCGGTCTTCCCTTCACTCCGGCCACCTGCAGCTTCCTTCGCCCACCTCATCTGCCATAGGCTGGAGGAAGACTGCAGCTGCTATTGGCCGGCTGGATGTTTTTGCAGTGCGGGACCTGAAGAATGCATCTCTGTACCCCCCCAGCACCACCGCCAGTACCACCACCAGGAGAGGAAGAGGGCAGATCAGCTATATGTACTGTAAGTCCTGTTCTTTCTGCCGTACACTGCTTACCTCTGTGCGTTAAATGACTGACCTCTGTACTGCTGACCTCTGTACTTTGCATCACACCACTGACCTGGCGGAGTTAAGGCCGGGGCAGAGTAGGGGTCAGGTGGGGCTACTGGTGGCGAGTAACTCTTAAGGCCTAGCTAGTAGCTCAGGGCCTGAAAATTTGAGCCCAGACAAAACTATATTTATATCTTTTGTAGTTACTTAGAAGTACTTTAAAACTTTATTAATTTTGTTGTGCCTGGAGTTCAGATTTAATTGTGAATACTGAAATTCATAAAAACAAGTCACACAATTATACAGGTACAGTCCCTGCAAACGTTTATTTTTTTAAACCCAAGTAACATTATGACCGGATTAGAACAGATAAAGGTCTATGCACATGGTGATAACCAAGGTTTTCATTTATAACCATGGCATGACACACATGCAATGCTTAATAATCTTCTGTTTTAATGCATACTTAACCCCTCAAAGAGGCTCACAGTCAAATCAAAAGCATGTGAAAACTTCAACAAAAATGCAAGTCATTTCTTCTAGTGCTGCAATTCTTCTTTTACTTGTGTGTTTTAGAATGCCAGCTGACTTCTATGCAACAGCACAATATTACAGGATATGTTGTGTTTTCTTAAATGTCAGAAAATGAACATGAAAGGACACTTCTTCATACGCTGATAAAGCCTAGCAGTGTCATAGCTGCCAAACTTGGTAAGTTTTAGAGTGAGGAAGAGTTACAGTTTCTGCCAGGTTTGTAAATTTGTCTAAGAAGCCTGCACAAGAATTGGGCATTGCAGTTGTCACAGGAAGGCATGGACAACAAGAACATTTTTGTAAGGACGTTCTAACCCTTCTTCCCTTCACTAAAATGTTTTTGTCGCTCTTGGAAAAATTGGAAGAAGTGAGGGGAAATTTTCCCATTAGGGACACAGTAATAAAAACCTGGCAGGGGCTCTAACTTTTTCACAGTCTATACAAAAAGGAAATAGGTTTTGGATTAAGTTGGGCTTTAAAAGAAAAAAAAAAAAAGTGAAGCCAAACCCTTCATCTCTTTTGGTTCACAGGAGTACATTTAATAATGTACATCTGTGATCCAAACTCAGCATATAGCAAGCTACTGGCCGCTATATGCTGACAGTACGCGATATTGTTGGGATCCACTCGGCTGCCCCAGTGACAGCTGGTTTTGCCTCTAGAGCCAGAGACATCTGTGCTAACCCTAATGAGCATGGAGGGGAATCCCGGAGTGGAGTGGTGACTGACAGTCCCATTCCTCTGCAGGGAGGAGACCGTGAGCTGAGCAATCAGCGGTTACAGGACTGCTCAGTACTGGGCATGTAGAGCAGACGTGTGAGAACTGCCGTGTCCCAAGCCGGCTCTAATTAATGGGAAGAGTACTTGAAGGAGAACTATGAGATGAGTGATTTTCATTTAACCTCCTAGTTCCAGCCGACATGTGACAGTTTCATTGCTCAATAGATCGGGAAGTGAACACATACTGTCGCTCGCTCCTCGATCATGTCCCTGCAGAGAGCCGTGACTATCACTCACTGCTCCCTGTGGGGATTCCCCCCCCCTCCAGCGCTGACTGGCGGAACGGATGGGGAGGGGGCGGGTACAGCTGGCTCTGCCTCTAGATAGGCAGAGCCAGCTGTCAATCACACAGCTGGGTGGATCTCGACAGTATTGTCGGGATCCGTCCTGGCTGCGGCGGTCTCAGTATACCGCCAGCTGTAGCTCGCGGTATACTGAGCTTAGGGTGACGGGAGGACGCTAGTTTATGTCCTCCCGTGACCCTGAGGCGAACTATGGGGAAAAACACTAACCCCATAGTTCTCCTTTAACTCTCCCAATACTTCTCCTTTAAGACCACTAGGTTTTCGCCCCTGTATGCATGACTATAGATTTAGCATTGTATATAATCTCACTAAAATTAGAGCTAAAGTAAAGTGCTTTGGGTTATGGTCTGATAGTTCTAATGTTAACAACAGAGGAAAAACAATCATGATTACTATACAACACCGAAAGCAGAAAAAGTTGTCAAATGTGTTTATTTTGCAAAAGAAAGAATTTAAAAAATGAGAACTGGCAATAACTTTAACTTCTTAGAAATGCTATGGCTGTTAACACTGTAAACAGACTCTTCACCTGGTTTCTACACTTTTCAGGACATAAAGAAGCTTTGACTATACATACAGTGTGATCTTGACAGAGAAGGGAAGGGTTAAAACCCGTCTGTTTATTTTTTTGCTCTTTTTGTCCTTATGAGGAGAGTTTCCTACCCCAAACATGCAACAATAAGAGAAAAAAATTGAGGCGAACTTCCCTGTTAGAGGTCACCAGAAAAGGTGTCCCAATTGGAAGATTTACCCTCACTTCTTGTTCTGATGAAAACTCTGAAATGCTACATTTCTCATCATTTTCAGTTCTGGCGATAATAGCCACCAGAACAAAGATAGTAAATCTCACCAGTAGGCACCCAAACCATAAAAACAGGGTTCTAATGGTTGCCCACTATCCAAAATGTAAAAAAAATGGCTAAAAACATACCCTTTAAATATATTTAAAAGTGAAAACGCTCTTATTTTATAAATGTGAGTGGTTTAACAGAGCACAACTGTCCATTCTTCATATTAGACATTGACACATATTCTGACAAGAAACAAAAGTGCAGAATAATGCTTATATAGAAGTTGACGACGGTGCAACTTACCATTGGATGAAGCATAAAGAGCCTTCAAATAGTAGCCGCTGATTTTAAGTGATGTCAAGTGGTTTCTTTCACAGTGCAAGACCTCCAAGTTACTTAAAGTGGTCACATCAAGCTCTGTCATGTTGTTATCTCTCAGATCCAACTGGGTGATATGCAGCAGGAAGTCTACATCTTCTGCCTCCAAACTTTGGAGTGCATTGAGCCTAGTGCGACAAACAGGCAATCAATACTTTTTATTTTTTGGGCAAATTAATTTTCATCTATCGCATACTAGGCAAACCAGTTTTACGTTTGCATAAACTGAACCTTTCACACATTGTCATACACGCAAGAGATGTATGACTATTTTTTGTCAACAGTGTCACAGATTATGGTTTGCAAGATCAACATAGGAACCCAGTATTCCTTTTGTGTGGAGAAAAAAAAAATATTAATTGGGCTTGATTAAAACTTTCCATTGGTTGCCTGCTCTGTTGACTCAGTAGTAGTGTGCTTTACTGCCTTGAGGAGCCAAGCCACTGCTGAAGAATTCAGTTCACATTGAACCTCAAGTCCTTGAAAACAGTTGGTGTATTCACTTTGGGGGTTTCTTTGCTTGAACTTTGGAATCCATGCAGATAGTAATACACATTAAAGTGTCACAAAAAGTACATTAAAAAACCAAATGGGCCAATGTAAATTTACCACTTGTATACTTTTAATGCTGAGCAACCTTTACGAACGTATGTTAATTTTGAGGGACCAATAGTGTATATTCAGTAAACACATATCTTGAGTTATTATTGTGCTGATAAGTCGCTTTAGAGATGCCAATCTTATTTTAAAGTAATTGTGTTTGGAGGTGATAATCTTATTTTAAAGCAATTGTGTTTACATTTTTTGCAGTGAACCAAATATATGGTGTAGTTTAGCCACTAGAAGACGTTTTGGATTTCAGTGCAACCACTAAATCTTTCTAGGCAACAACTGTTCTGAGATAAAATACCAGTCACACAAGTGGTGCAAGGTTTTCACTGTCATCTATTGAATTACATTTCTGGAATAAGTAGTAAAGAGTAACCACTGGGTAGCAGCATTGCAAGGCAGCCTCCATGTGAAATAAGCAAATAAGGTTGCCATTGCGCACATGGAATGGAAACAAGGCTTTCAATTATTATCAGTTGCAAGAATAGTTACATCATGCTAACCTGTTGCAAGTATACGTAGAAAACAATGACAGACAAGTACAATACACCATTCAAAACAATAAATGTATATATAGATTTCAGTGGGTAGCTAAGCCTTCAACCAAAAACTGAAAATCATGTGATTTTACAAGTGTCTGTAACTAAAGACAATCATAATGTGCATGTTGAAAAATGTGTCAAATACAGTCACACAGAACTGGACCACAAAAAAAAACACCATACGGGAGTCAGGAGGGTTTCAAATGACAAGGAATATTCTGAAAATGTCTCCAAGCACTCACTCGTCTTACAAGATATGGGTTATTGTAAACACAAGGGCAGGAAGTACTTTGCTGTGAATGGCTTTATTTGGAACGAACCCAGTTTTCTTGCTGTGTAAAGTTCTCTCTGGCTAAAATACAAAGCACGCACACTACAAGCAGCATGTACTCTGCAGTCTGGAATGTTTGGGGCCCTGGGTTTTCCCATTAATTAAAATTACCATTGCCTATAACAAATGGCTAATTCAGTGAGAATTCATGCATACGTCTTGCCTGTAGATTTTATACAAGTGCAACTGTTATTGTCCTCCCATTTGCTAATCACTACATAGTGTGGCATATGTTACCATCCTGGTAATTTGTCTTCAGGACATTTTTTTTTATAGCTTTGAAGCATTTGGTTAACAATAATTTGTTTTAAATTTCCACTTTTGCAGACAATCTGAGAAAATACCTTTGTATGTTTGCTTTGTGTTCTAATTCACCCAACATAACGAAGTCTGTACAGCAGGCCTTTGGAGCTTCTGTGTACTATTTTATACTGAGAGAAACCTCAGGCTGCCCCTATAGAAAGACTAGGGACACTCTGAGGTTTCTCTTATTAACATAGAATGCAATAAAACACGGTTTAAGGCAGTGATGGCGAACCTTTTTGAACCCGAGTGCCCAAACTGCGACGCAAAATCAACTTATTTACCTCAAAGTGCCAGCGCTGAAAATAAGTTTAGTACTGTATTGCAGTTTGGGCGCTCAGGTTTAAGAAACGTTCAACATTACTGCCTTAGGCCCCAATTCACACCAAGCAACATGCCTTACAAGCGGGGCCGGGATAGCGCGACTGTTCAGGGGCGACGTTCCAGCAAAGATCGCGCGACCTTCACTGTGGGGCTGCATTCAAAAATAGATAAATCACGCGACATCCGCGGGGAAAAAGGGTCCTGCTGAAGCGACGGGCGACATGGAGCTGTACATTAGAACAGCTCCATTGAAAAACATTGGCCGGCGATAATGCGCTAAATAGCGGGATTTTACGCACAGTGTGAATGGGGCCTTAGGCCAAATAGGGAAAACACGCATATTCAAACATTTATACACTTAATAAAAACACATACACACGTAATGAAACACACACATCTCACACTTATTAAAACACACACATTAAAACACACAGAACTACGGGGGGGTGTTTTGCTCTCAGGAGGGGGAAAGGCTGTGCGGCTCTCATGGGGGATCAGAACGTCCCGGATCGTCTCTGTAGTCGGGCCAGTCACAATCAGGCAGCGGCGGGGACCCCTAAACAGGCAGATTAGTCTAATCTGCCTGTTTAGAGGCCGC